CACCGCATCGCCTCCAGCTCCAAACAGGTCAGGGACCCCCCCAAGCACCCCGCACGGGGCTCACCGGGGTGCACAGCCAGAGCCATCGGCATAGCCCGGCTGCAAGGAGAGCCAGCAGTCCCACCTGGAGCCCTCCCTGCCACCACCCCTCCCCGCACCCCCACTTATTTCGGGAGCTTAACCCCAGTGCCAGCTCCTGCAGGTCCCCCCATGCCTCCTCCCCACGCAGGAGCACTGGAATCAGGCACTGCTTTCCTAGAAATCACCAAAAACCAGGATTGAAAGGATCAGCCCATCCATGCCCCCCACCAAAGGCAGCAATTGCCATAACCCGTCCACCGGAGCCGGGTGACGCTGGAGCAGAGAGCAAATAAACGTAACACGTTCCTTCCATCCATCCCATTTCATCACTCACTTAAGCCCGGGACCGTTTTTAAGGAGCCGAAGGAACGCGAACAACTGTCACTTTATTGTCGTTTCCAGCCGTACCGCAAAAGGCACACAAAAAAACTTCCTTGGCACGAAAGAATTTCGCGGCGGGGTTTTTCGTAGGGTCTTCCCTTGCGTTTTCCTTGAGTTTTTCTTTTGCAACACGGTCACCGGCGTCTCCCATCGCCCTTGATGGGAACATCCTTTCACAGAAAGGACAGTTTTGTTCGTGCAGATGGGCACGGGACCCCCCCCCCCGGCCACCTCCGCAATAAATGGCACCTCTGTGTCCCCCCTGCTCCCTGGCACAGCCCCACTGACCAGGTACCGGTGTCTTGCCCGGCTCCGCTCCCGCTTGCCCAGGGCTGAGCTCCATCGCAGCCCCTGGCATCACTCCAGCCCCAGTTGGCACAAGTCAGGTCGGGTTTGGCTGCTGGATAACGGGGTGGGGGGAGAAATGGAGGGGCCCTGCTCTAGCTGTGCCCCCCTCCCCGCTATCTGAACGACGTCGAGCGTTTCTTTACACCATTTATCCTCCTGCTCTCTCCAGCTACGTGTTTCTGCAGAGCTGTGGGTGAGGGTCCCGTGGAGGGGGTGCCAGCAGGGACCTCCCAGCTGGGTGCTGCGGCCCCGCTGCCTCACAGGGGCTGGTGAAGGGGCAAAAAAAAAAAAGAGGCTGGGGATGAACTGAAGGGATTTTCCTGCCCGGAGCAGCCCGTGGGGTTCCAGCATGGCAGCGTTGCTGGTGCACCCACTGATCCCCACTGGCCATGAGTGGGGGTCTGC